CCTCAGGGGGGAAAGAAAACCTCCTATGCCAAAGCCAGTCTTTCTTCCTTTTTTAAGTTATATTTCAAAGCTGTTTCTGATCACAGCTTCACTTTTCCACACAAGTTCCAAGGAAACAGGAACTTCCCTAGAACAAACTGTGAAGCCTCTTTCTGTACCCGTTCCGTCCTCTGGGGCAGCACATTACCAGCGACAAGCCCTCAAAATCCTCCTCTGACATTTTTCCCTAATCAAAGAAAGGACTTAATAAGAGCCATTTCTTTGTTGGATTGTTACATTTGACAATCCCACAAAAATGTCCGTCACTTTCAATTTAGTCTTTTTTCAATGTTGGAATGAAAAGCTTCCTCTTTAAAGGAATTTTAAACATTAATAGGAAAAAACCACTCAGGGAGGTAAAAGAGACGCTTTGAAACCACATCCGGCCTCCTTGATAGCAAATCCTGCAGGATCGGCCAGGAAAGAAGAGCCACCCTCTACCACCCCTGGGCCGTCAGGCTGCGGCTCTGTTCCCCAGGGCCAGCTGGAGGCTGTGGTTACCAGGCTCCATTCCAGGACCCAAGAGGCCACTCTGCCCGGTCATGGGTCCACTGACTGGTCTCTATCTCCCAGTCTTTTCTTCTCCTTTCCCAGCGCCCTCCTCAACTCTGCAAACCTAAACCGAGGGTTCTCAATAGCAACCCTATTAACATTTTCGACCAGATTCTTCTTTGACACGGGAAGCAGTCTTGGACATTGTAGGATATTTTGCAGCATCTCTGGCTCTACCCACTAGGTACCAAGAGCAACACACCATTCCCTACCAGTCACAACAATCAAAAATGTCTCATCTCTGGGGCCAGCATGGTGGCACAGCGGTTATGTACATACGTCTGCTTCGGCAGCCTGGGGTTCACCAGTTGGATCCCGGGTGTGGACATGGCACCGCTCATCAAACCCTGCTGTGACGGGCGTCCCATATATAAAAGAGAGGAAGATGGGCACAGATGTTAGCTCAGGGCCAGTCTTCCTCAGCAAAAAGAGGAGGATTGGTAGCAGATGTTAGCTCAGGGCTAGTCTTCCTCAAAAAAAAAAGGTCTCCTCACCAATGTCCTCCAGAGAGTAAAAGGCCCAGTTGAGAACCACTGTCTCAACTAAACACATTCATCCTCCAGCCATGTGTCCACAGGCAACGCTCACAGGACCGCCACTTCAGCCTTCCTCAAGCCTTTGGGGGCCTTCTGTCCTCAGCATGTTCGTCATTACTTTCCTCTGCACAGTATTTAATTAGTTTTTGGTATTGTAACTCTTTATGTAACATTTTAAAACTCATAGCTATGCTTCTCCTATTATCTTTCCAGATGCATCTTCTAGATACAAATCTCCTGGAACACGTCCTCTTCAGTCACTAATAATTCTTAAGCATAGTGCTTTACTGCAGATTATCCACAAAGTCTAAGTTTAAAGGAAATGGCTGTAGGGTAGATTGCTTTGTTTCCTGAGATAGTGTGTGCACACGCCCCGACACCCCCCAAGAGGAATACGATGCAATGGAGGAGTTACACAACCTCAGGAGAAATGCAATTTTCTGAAATACGCATTTTGCCTGAAGATTTAGGAAGTTATTAAGAATAATAAAACGAAGTTATGTTAAAACCCACATGAACAATTTGGAGTGAAATGAATTTTTTGCATGAATTTCAAAATAAGAGACACCAACAAAATTGCATTTTGCAATGGGTCACATCAAGCATGGTCCCAGGCAGACTGATGCTTCAGCAGAAGTGATGGGAAGCCCCAGCTTAGTGGAATGGAGCATCTTCATTAAATTAAAACCGCAAAACTTCAAGAGAACACAGGAGCCAAACTCCAGCTCAGAGGCAGGTGTGGTGTTTTTAAAGCCGTCTCATGGGTGAGGTAACTGCCTTGCCTGGGGACTTGTCACTGGGAGTCTCTGTTACACACTCTGCAATTCAGGGTGAGAGGGGTCAGGAAACTGCAATTCCTAAACCCACTTTTGGGGAAGGGTCTTTCCAGGTGGGGAAATGGGCTGAGTCGACCTGCAGCTGGAACTTAGTTATGCCAGGACAAGACCTTGTCGTGTAACCTCGCCCTCTCCTCTGGGGTCTCCTGTACTCCCTAGCCTTTTTTTTCAGTTTAGTTGATTTGACAAATTCCAGTCCATCCTAGCTAACGTAAAAGTAAACCAACAGTTGTGCAGTGAACCCAAGCTTACATTTTCACGTTGGCTTTCCTACTGTCTCTTCTCTTCACACCAGAGCACCTGACAAAGCCCTCTTTGCTTTACCCTCCCCTCCTCCTAGACCCACCAAGGCGGCAGGATTTTTTTCTTGTTTCAGCATTGTCACAAGCTATAGAATCAAGGGCAAGATACTTAACCTCTTGTGGTCTTTTCTTTAGAGTACAGAGATAGATTGCAAATCTCTCACAACACCACATATTCATATATCTGTATAACATGTTATAGAATTTTACTGGCAGAACCACATTTATAAACAACCTACTGTTTAAATACATTATATATTTTAATACCTTAAAAATAGTGTCTCATCTCTAGATCTTACAGGCTATTAAAAGATAAAATCCAGCAGCAGTTTCTAATACACTTCAAAAAATGTTTAGGGGAAAATGCCATCAGCACACTTTCGTGCAAACAGACCTGCTCTTAGCAACTCGAGTAACAACAAAGGAGCAATAATTGTTTTCTTCTCCAGTAAGAGTTGCTAATACACAAAGTAAATGACTAGAGCCAGGGCCCAAGGGAGTGTTGGTAGCAACCTGCGGTGCAGGTTCTAACACTTTTCTTTATTAACCAGGCCAAGTGACCCAATGTTGGCTCTATCCACTCCAGATGACTCCCCAATAGCTAAGCATTGATCTAAGCAGCTTGTAACCACAGAGCCACAAACTTAAACAATCATGATCCTGAATAGGAAGAAGGTTGGGTGGAGAGAGTAAAGTCAATAATTAGAGGAAAGGAAGGGTTAACACATGACAAAATTAGTAGAGTGGCTATCAAGGGTGAAACAGAATCCAGAGGAGTGTGACCGAAATTGTACAAGAGTACTTTTCTGGGACTTTATCCATGCTCTCACCCCCCCAGCCCCACGCAGTCTTCTCCCCATTATGGTGGAGGCACTGGAGAAACGGGGCCAACTTAGATGGAGAGTTCTGATAATCACATCTGAATCCCTGAGGCCAATTCTGCACCGGACTTCTCACTGACACACACCGATAAATCCTTCACTTTTGGCGGGACTGACTTGTTCAGATGGGTTTCTCTAGTGATTTAAAGAGTTCTATTATGGTTACTACAGAACAACTGAAACTATGCATTTTGTCTACTCAGAATTATAAGAATTTAGATAGATTTGTTTTACGTGAAAATCGCGATCAGCTGTCACTATAAAACATAAGCATAATGTAGGCCTGTTGCCTGCTTTATTCTGAGAAAATCTAGCAATTCAAATCAGTTATTTTATACTCAAAGATTCAACATTTCGTTTTAAAATATCCATCTAAAAATTTTTTAAATACTAACCAACAAAGAATAATGTGTTGCATTGATAAAATAGATTAACTGGGACAATTAAGTCCTCAATTTGTTTTCTCCTCTCTCACCTCATTCTGTTTCTCTCCTCTTCCGAGTTCCCATTTTCCTGAATTCTTGTTCTTAGTAAGTCACTCTATAAACGTGAAGCAAATGTGCAAAATTTCCTTCTGCTCCACGATCTACATTTTCTTCCAGGTTGAGTCGTAGTCTTTTGCTTTCTGCTCTGTGGTACAGCGCTTCTCAGTATAGACCACAGACGGACAGCACCAGCGTTATCTGGAAGCTTGGCTGAAATGCAAATTACTGGGTCCCATCTTAGACCAACTGAACCAGAACCTCTAGGGATGGGACCCAGGAATTTGTCCCAATGACTCTCAGAACACGGAAGTTTTAAAACCAGGCTGTAGGACGGCTGCACGGCTGAGGTTGTTTCTTCACTCTGCTCAGGCTTAACACAGGCAACAGAAGGCACCCTGTAAGGCTTCAGGGAGGAGGGGTGCCTTAACGCTCTTCCCACCATAGCTGAAACTAGCTTAGATTTTTCTTCAAGATACAGTTCAGAGCTGGGTCTATTTCTATCTGCTTTTCTGAAGCCTAGGGAAAAGGAGCCAGGGACCATAAAGGGAAAGGCCTATCTGAACTCTGTTCTCTCCTCTGAGATTGTTAAATTGTCTACACCAGTCAAGAGGAAAAGCCTTCATTTTATTTCTCTCCAAATTCGGGGATGTTAGTATGACTTTCTCAGGAACTGTCAAGGTTGGGGGCAAAGATGGACAACGATGGGAACCACTCCTCTCTGCGCCCCCAGCAGAGAGTACATCACAGAGCTGGGGACAGTTAGGTGACACTGAAGCACACGCGGACATGAGGCTCAAGAAGGAGTCAAGGGCCAAGAGGGAGATCTGAGTGCCAGTGAGGAGGGGCGACCCGGGGTGCCAGCACTGGTTGGTTTAAGCAGCTATTAGAAAGTAAATATATTATTTGATGACAACAATTTTACAACATAAAATTTCCTAAATACAGTTATCATATAAAGTGCTCTAGCACAGATTTAATTCCACAAAGGAGGGGTTCCTTTCACATCAGCTTAATAAAAGTTTATTTTAACAATGCTAGGGAGGTAAAGCCCCAAACTTTACAATTCCTCACATTTCTCTCAAAAGATTTAAAAAAAACCTTAGTATTAGATATCAAATCATGCTTAAAAATTGTGTAGGCTATTTTAAAAATCTGAATTATTTAAAATTATGACAATGATAAAATGCCAACCAATTGAGGTCCCAAACTAAAAACATTCAAAACAAGAAAGAATCATCATTTGGACTCTGTTATGTTTTCAGAGTGGTAAAGGGTGACCAACTCCTGTTGCCACAACGCTAAGTGCCGGAAGTAAACAATGCATTTATAATCTGAAAGCAAATTTATCTTGCACATCTTGATACTGATGTATAAAGCCATGTTTCGCCAACTTTTTTATTAACATAACAAATAATTTCTTCCACAATAGCAACTGCAATAAAACTCCAATAACATTAGCCAACTTGCTGTCATGTTCTATGGTCTTCTAAGTAATACAGCACACAGACATTTATAAACTACAGAGCCACATCAATTTGTAAGCAACGAATAAATTTTGAAATGTTAGGAATATAGTAAAACTACATTCTAAATAGTTTTGTTTTAACTTTCCCTTTTTCCTGAAATTTTCTTTTTTATATTCATGCTTCCCACTAATTTTTTCACTAGACTCAATTAAATCCTAGATTTAAATATGGCCAAAGAGAAATCAACAATATTGGGATGAGTGTCAACAAAACAGCTTTTATCAGAGTCTAAGCCACTTAAAGCTATTCTCCAAAAGAAAACTTATTCACCCCAGGCATACATGGAAAAAGCTAGCCTCGAGTTTCAGGTTCACCATGGCTGACCTGTCAGATATCAGGGAACGTCCAAGGCTCAAGGCTGGAAGGGCTAAATGCCAAAGGCTGTCACCAGTGGAACGTCCCTCAGCTGAAGAAAAGACCTGACACACTGGGCAATGTGTTCAACTTGCAGAAGACAGGAGTCTGCGCTGGTACCAATCGAGTTAACAAGGTTTAAGCCCTAGTCACAGATAACAAAGTGTTACCACGCTTGAATAATAACCTCTAAGGAACTTCCAGCTTACACTGCACGGACTCTCGCCACTGCACGAACTCAGGGAACAGCTGCGCAGTCTTTAGGAGAAGGACAAGCCGGTGAATCAATTCTCTGCAGTGACTGATTAGACTGACTTCCTGTCAGCTGGAGATTATAGTATGTTCACAATCATGATCATTACGACATGCAGTCAACACATACACGGTGACACACCAAGTACACAGTGGTGGACCCAGTGCTGAATTATCTCCTAACTTTTCCTCAAATCCCTTTACTGCCAGTAAAAAATCTACACCTACCACTTCTAGTCCTATATGGAAGCTGAAGTATGACTGTTGCTATATGACTGATTTTCTACATTGTGGTCCTATTTCTGCTAAAGTACTCTTATAGTCTTTATCAACTGAAATTGTTTTTTTTTAAACTATCTTTATAGAACTCTGAAAGATAGTAAATTCACTGAATAAAAATTTTTTCAATTTTCTTCCTCAAATATAATAAAATTGATATATGTTAGACAAGTTATCTCCATTCTCCTAATATTAATGTTGTAATGAGGTTCCACTGAACTTCCCTTAGTGAGGCAAGTTTCAATTATCCTAAAAATGGTAAATGATCTATTATTTGTGTGTGAATCTAAAGTGCGTCCCTTATCAAATTATTTATCTGCAGGTCAAAAACAAAAATTTAGGCAGACTGTTAAATATAATGTTAACAGGTACGCTGGGCAAAAAACTCAAACTTTTTATTTAACTTCCATCTGCTTAGTTTTTTATTGAGTTAAGTATAAAGGCCAAGTTAATCAACTCATTAGACTGGTCAAGGCAAGACACTTGAACTACATAAGGATTTAAAAAGCGGTTGGTCTTTTAGTAATTCTCTAGTAATCACACACGCACACGCACACACATACACACAAACTGGTAGAGTACTCTGGATATAAGATTTCCCCCCATAATCTTGTATAATGCACTGTTCACAATCTGCAGTATTTTGAAAACTATATAAATTTGACATGACCAAATTAAAGATGTCTGATAAACTCTTATAAAGTATTTTGGGAACTTCAGGTGTAATCCCCAGATGATTGATTTTAAACTATAAAAAGGGAAAATTCATATAAAATCACAACAGATTTAACAGACATCTTTGAAAAGAAATCAAATTGTAACTCAATTTTCTACTTTTTAAAATATGACTAAGAAAAAAGGTATAAGCCGCAATGTCTACATTTTTTAAAAACTATTAACTGAGTGGATTTGGGGAAGACAAAGAAAAGCTATACAGTATTATTGCACTCCACGAATGTGCAGAATTCCAAAATGTGCCAGCACTGAAAAACTGTCTTGCATTGAGGTTTTCCAAGAGGTACAACGAGCCTGCCAAGAAAGCATCGGGTCTGTACTAACAGCTTGCTGTCTTCAGTACAGGCCTTCATACTGTCAGCCACGCTGCTCTTGCAAAAGTCCCTTAATGTCTGAAAGAGACACAGAAAAAAGAAAGTTTTATTTCAAAATCTACTCTTGTAAAATCAACTCATCGATCAGAACATCTCTGCTAAGCAGAAGTTAACTAACGCTCACTTCTCCAGGTTCACACATTTGCTTATAAATTTTCCATCTTGAGCTGTTAAAAAGACTTTGCACACTCTTAGGAACTAGTTACTTGATGGCAAGGAGAAGCTACGTATATAAACATCCTAGCACAATATACCAATTCTGGCCATTAAGAGTTCACAGCCAAAAAGTGATGTTACAGGCCCAGTTACTAAGCCTTGAAGATAAAATTATTAGCACAATCTCACTTCATTTTGGCAGGTCCAAACTCTCTTGATCAATTATAAATTTTAATGAACAAAACATCCATCTGTTAAATCTCAAGTTGGAAACTCAAGTGATAACATGTAATATCTAGAATCTTGCTGATTCGTGATAAGAACTGGTACCGATATGTAGTTACTATATTTTTAAACTACTTACAAAAGGGTTTTCAGTGCTGATAGGTGGGGCTATGATCCATGATGTGGGATTGGATCCATATGCACATTCAGCTTCATTTCATTGTCCAGAATTTGAACAAGCTGTTGCATGGATGGAAGGTGACCAGATTCCAGCTTAGACCACACTGGTACATCTATAAAAATACGCGGTAGCACCCCCCCAAAATTAAAGATGATTCTGTAAGATACTCATCCTACAAATATTTATTGTCTATGTACACAGCTGGGGACATAAAAGTGAGCCAAAGAATTAAGGTTCTTCCTTTTATGGAGTTTACATTATAGAAGGGGAAATACAAAAAGCACTACATAAATAGCTACAAAAGCACAATTGTGTACTAAGAATTAAAACTAGAAGATGCTGACATATGAGAGAGAAGAAAGGAGCCTTTGCACTTATTATTAAAAATGAGCGGTATTCTTAAAACTGAGAGGAGGTATTATCAGAAGTGAGAGAGGGCTGAAATACAGAGGAGAGTGGGTACAAGAGAGGCCGGAGAGGTGAGCAGGGACAAGAGGAGGGGTCAACAAACTGCAAAGGGCCTGAGAGCAAGCATTTTCAGCTCAGCAAGATACAGTCTGCCACAGCTACTCAACACTCACTGTAGCCTGAAAACAGCAGCAGGCGATACGTGAATGAATGGGCATGGGGTGTTCCAATAAAGCTTTATTTACAAAACAGGCAGCAGGGGATACGGTCCACAGGGCCATGATCTGATTCCCCAGGCTACATCATGCAGGCCTTTTGGCCAGGTTAAGTAGTCTGGTCATTATCTAGAGAACAAAGTAAAGTGACTCAATGAATCTGAGGCACTGTAGCAACACGATGAAATGCACATTAAAAAAAATCACTGTACTGTTTGGAGCAGGTGTCAAACAAATTTCTCTGTAAGAAACCAGATAGTAAATACTTTAGGCTGTATGGAGTAAGAGGTAAAATCAAGGATATTGTATAGGTACTTATAACTAGAGAGAAAATTTCCACAAATTTTTCGTTGATGAAACTGAAAACTTTAGGTATGAACACAGATATGTGAATTTCACATGACTTCCACGTGTCACAAAAAAATCACTGTTAGCTCATGGGACTTACTTCTCAACCTCTGGTTTAGAGAATGTATTAGAGGTTGGTAACAAGATAATTGTGGCTTGGACTAGGGTGGTGGCAATGAAGATAAATATAAGTAGATTTTTTTTTTTTTTGAGGAAGATTAGCCCTGAGCTAACATCTGCTACCAATCCTCCTCTTTTTGCTGAGGGAGACTGGCCCTGAGCTAACATCTGTGCCCATCTTCCTCTACTTTGTATGTGGGACGCCTACCACAGCATGGCTTGCTAAGCAGTGCCATGTCTGCACCTAGGATCTGAACCAGTGAACCCCGGGCCGCCGAAGTGGAACATGCGCACTTAACCACTGTGCCACCAGGCTGGCCCCTATAAGTAGATTTTTAAGAAATATAGAAGGTGGGGCTGGCCCCGTGGCCGAGTGGTTGCGTTGGCGCGCTCTGCTGCAGGCGGTCCAGTATTTCGTTGGTTCGAATCCTGGGCACGGACATGGCACTGCTCATCAAACCATGCTGAGGCAGCGTCCCACATGCCACAACTAGAAGGACCCACAACGAAGAATATACAACTATGTACGGGGGGCTTTGGGGAGAAAAAGGAAAAAATAAAATCTTAAAAAAAAAAAAAGAAATATAGAAGGTACAATCGAGAAGGCTTGGTAATCCACTATATATGGAGAGTAAGGGAGAAAGTGATGTTATCCTAGGTTTCCGACATGGGCAACTGTGTAGAATGATACTTGTGCCATTAAATAAACGAGAAATGCCAGAGAAAGAGCAAACTGGAATATACAAGAATTGCAGGAAGCTGAGGGAATCAACAGTTTGGGAGTGGGTAATGCTTAAGATTCCTGGGTAGAGCCCGAGAAGAGAGGTCTAGAGCTCTCGAGAGCTCTATACTCAGAGGTCATCACACAAGCGTTATTCTAAAGCCACAGGAGTAGGTGAGGACCATATAAAGAGATAATTTAGCATATTATGAAACATAGAAAAGCCTGACGTTCATTATACGTCTTTTAAATTATCGCAGAACCCACCGTTGAAGGTTATCTCAAATGCGCCTGTCGACATGCACTGGTTCTCAACCATGTTGCTCAGGAAGAACACCATCATGCACGCATAGACCTACGAGAAAGTGCAAGTAAGGACGACAGGCAAAGTCACGGTGAAATCAAAACAACATGACATCTTAAGACAGTAATCTTTAAGTATGTAGTCTCATTTATTTAGTAATTGCTTAATCTACTTGAAAAGTTTCTATACAAATTATTACGGCTATTCCCTACGTTCAGATAATGTACCAGAACAAGAAAAATGCAACATTAATTCACAGCTCTATACACACTGAAGAACTTATATATGATATCCACAACATAGAGATAGAATTTCTAGAGATCTCATAATAGCCTTAGTAAGTTAAACAAAAGAATATCAGAATAAGAAGGGTATATTTCACTGTTTTTATAACATAATGTACAAATTCACAAGAGACTAGTCATACAATAATCAGCAACTCCAGGTATTCACTCCAACCTGTCCATGTTCCAAACAAATCATTTTAAGTCAAACTAAGAAAAAAAAGTAGGTTCAAAAGCACTGGCATATTAAACTACAGTCATTCACATTTTGAAGGTAAACCTATACCCTCCCAAGAGACTAGAAGCTCCTTGCTGGACAGAAAGGTTTTAATTTAACAAAATCACCTGACTAAAAGTAGCGTGTAGTGAGGATGTTAATTCACAGCAAGCTGTTTCACACAAATCAGTCAAAATGCCAATAGCAGATGAGAAAGAGCTCCGCGCCCCCTTCCCCTGCCCCAGTCCCACTTGAGCTGGGAGGGCTCTGATTTCATAGAGGTTACCCTAGCATTCGGGAATATACGTCTACTTTCATGGGCACAATGCACAAGGAAGTGTCATAAAAGCGACAGCTTTCAGGCATGTCAACAACAGTTCTATGTCTATGGAAGTAATATGCACTAAAGATAATTTGGAATTACCAGAATTAATGAATATAGCCCAAAACATTATCAATAAGTTCTTAAATTCCAATTCTTAATCCTATGCAATCGGTATTTTGTTAGTGACAGGGTACAGACACACGGCACTGAGTGAGCACCTGAGGGTGTTTACGTTAAAAAGCCTCGCCTGCTACTGGAGGTCAGTGGTTCCCTAAGAAAAAGAACTACAGCTGCGTGGGAGCCAGCTGACAGCTCTCTCGGCCCAGCACCCAAGGACAAGACCACACAGGACTCCGAGAGGACGCTTCTCAGAAGGCAACCCAAGCAATCTCATCTCACTTTACCTCTCAAGAGAGAAATAAAAATTAGTCCTATTTCTCACAGTAGAAAGGTGGACCCTCCAGAAAAGATGATTTTAAGTAAAACAGAGGAAAGAGAGATCTAGAATGTTTGCTGCAGCAAGATCCTATAAAAGAAGAGACAGCACAAGATCCTCACGTATATTTAAATTGATTGTTTCAGTTATTCGCTAAACAGATTCCCCATGAGCAGAAAAGTCAAAGGACAAATAATAAAAACAGAGTTTGGATAAGAACAAACCAGTGGAAATCCCATTTTTAATGTGACTAAACCCATTAATACTCACCTCAGTTGGTAGAAAACCCCTGTATTATGTATTGCTGAATACGGTTTGGCCTAAGTTGTATAATCAAAGTCAGATATTAAATTACTTCATGCCCAGGTTCTACCACACACCTCCCTATCCTTCAAATACCCAAAAGGTAAGATTTAATCATTCTTAATACACAAATATGGAAACTAAGTCCAAGGCAGGTCAAGTGCCTTCCCAGTGATAAAAAGTGGTTGCAGTTGAAACAATACACGTAAACAGGTGAATTGGCAACAAGTACTTAAAAAAAATCCACTGAAACATTTTCATTGACAAACTAAAAACTTCCAGCTGGCAAAGCTATTACGTTACATACCTTATTTTCCTGGCCCCACTGCCAGATGCTAGGAGCTTGCATGCCAAAGAAAGCAAAAGGGTCCTTGCCAACAATTATTAAGCCTATTAACACTAGTTTGAAGACTGACAGGAAAGATGCTATGTGTCTATCAAAAGAAAAGAAACAAATTCATCAGAAGCCACAATTTCTCATCTACTTCAAAATTTCCTAACTCAAGTGTATGTGTATGGACACTTTCTAGACACCAAATCCAAACATTACTAACTATAACTAGCATTTGAAAAAGATGGTAACTAAAGTTTATTGTGTGGTTTTAAAACAAAAACGCTTAATATCTTCTAAATCAATCAAAGATTAACTTATAAAATTATATAGCAATGGCCTTTAAAAATATTATTATTTGGGGGGGGGCCGACCCAGTGGTATAGTGGTTGGGTTCACTCGTTCGGATCCCGGGCATAGACCTGCACACTGCTCGTCAGACCATACTGTGGCAGTGTCCCATATACAAAATAGAGAAAGACTGGCAAAGATGTTAGCTCAAGGCCAATCTTCCTCACCAAAAGAAAAACAAAAAAATAAAATAAAAAAACTATTATTTTAACAGTACATAATTTTATACCATTGACTTTCTAGAACATTTGGGAGTTCTTGGTCTATTTCCACAATAAAAATTACATAAGAAAACACATCTTTAGAAGGATTGCCGTCTCTGAAATGATCCTCCTCTTTTCCTTCTTACAGAAAAATTCTGTATTTGGATCAAATAAACTTGCTATTTATAAAACAGTGTTCTCTGAATATTATAATCAACTAAAGAAATCATAATAATCAAGGAAAGTTAACTGAACTAATTCACAAAATTTATTCAAAAAAGTAAAAAAAATTCACTTAAAAATTCCTTTTTAAGTTAGTGAAATTTACTTACCTATATATGGGCTGAGGGAGGTAATTCTCTCCTTCAATGCGGATGTCCGGGTACCGCTGGCTAATAACCCGCATGTACTCCTCAAACACCCGCCTGTACCCTCAGGAAACACTGCAGAAAAATAAACGTGCTTCCGGTAAGTCGTTTAGAACATGGCTAGACTTATGTTGCAGTTACACAAAGCCTAAAATACATTACCAAGATTCAAAGTGTTTCTCAAGAACAGTCACAAATTAAAAATGATTCATGCTGGATGACAGGGACATGGACGTTTTTCACAAATTCCACATAGTTAAGTTACTCCTGCCCAAGGAAATCCTTCCATGAGAACATTCAACTCTAGACTTGGGTTATTGCTGGACAGCAGGAAATACCCATTCATTTATGGCAGCACATTTTGAGCTCTCAAATCAAAATGCCTTTCTTTTTGAGTATCAATCACTGTATAGACACTGAAATGAAAATAACTCTTATTCATCTGTAATAGGGACTTTCAAAAGTGGGGCACAGGAAGTATAAAACCACCAGACATGGAACTGCTTGCTATCCCCACGCAGCCCTTAAGCTGGCCAAGCTGCCTCTCAATCACGACCAAAGAAACGTCACTCGCTCTTAGATTCACTCTGACTCCATAATTTGATTCTACTTTGCAAAGAAAAACCAAGACTGGGAAGATAATTTTTAGTAATATGACAGCAATCCGTATCATTGCTCCAGAAATTCAGTTGACAGTCTCCAATCATCTCCACTAAAATCTCTGAACAACTAAACAGCGTGTGATAATACGCTGCCCAAGCAACAAAAGGGAAATATGCCACCAGAGCGCATTTATAGGGGAAAAAAGATGCATTGAAAACTTTAAGACATTGATGAAAGAAACTGAAGAAGACACAAATAAATGAAACAATATATCATGTTCATAGATCGGAAGAATTTATGTTGTTAACATGTTTATAATACCCAAAGCAACCTAAAGATTCAAGGCAAGCCCTACCAAAATTTCAATGGCATTTTTCACAGAAATAGAACAAACAACAGTGAAATTTGTATGGAGCCACAAAAGACCCGGAATAGGCAAAGCAATCTTGAGAAAGAACAAAGGTGGAGGCACCACACTTTCTCATTTCAAACTCTATTAATAAGCTATAGTAATCAAAACAGTACGGTACTGGCATAAAAACAGATACATAGATCAATGGGACCAAATGGAGAGCCCAGGAAAAAACCCACACATATATGGTCAAGTAATTGACAATGAAGGAGACAAGAATACACAATGGGTAAAGGACAGTCTTTTCAACAAATGGTGTTGGGAAAACTGGATAGCCACAGGCAAAAGAATGAAACTAGCCCACTATCTTACACCATACACAAATACCAACTCAAAATGGGTTAGAGGGCTGAGACTAAGCCAGAGACTTTGTGATTGGGGATCCAGACCCTTTCCACTAGACCTCAACCCAACAGTTAAATGATGCAAGCGCCATCCTCCCTGTGTCCAGGAAGCAAGTTCCCTTTGCCAGCAACGCCACAATCCAGTACCCACATAGCTGGCCTCCTGCTGGCAGAGATCTCTGAGGTTCTTCCAGGAAGACAGCATAGACTTTCCTTCTGGGAGAACCAAGACTGCGGGCCCCAACAAATCCCTCATATTTGCTCTGGGAGTTTCAATCCCTCGCCAAGGGAAGCGCTGAGAGGCCTAGCTGGAGAGGTGCGTCTGTGCGCGGCAACACTCTGGATCAGACGCCTCCTGGTACCTGCTTCTCTGGCTACTATGCTCAGAAGCCTAACTCCATCCTCAGTTCTAGTCCCAACTCTTCAGCTGAGTCTCAGATCTCTGCATCAAACTCCAAACAGAGTCAGCCTCCAATCTTGAAATCCAAAAAGGACACTGAAACTGTACCTTTCTTTAAGTTTCCAGTTACAAAACAAATAAGGCATGGGGATGTAACATACAGCATGGTGACCATGGCTAATAGCACTGTATTTCATATTTGAAAGAAGCCAGGAGAATGGACCTTGAAAGTTCTCATCACAAGAAAAAAGATTTGTAACTATGTATGGTGACGGATCTTAACTAGATTGAGTGTGGTGATCATTTTGCAAAATATACAAATATTGAATCATTACGTTGTACAACTGAAACTAATATAATGCTTGTCAATTATATTTCAATAAAAAATTTTTAAAAAGGTACCTTTCTTATTTCTGAAAAATAAGCGGTTTATAAGACTGACACAACATACTTTTAGACACATTTATAAATACATAAGTAAACTTTCCTCCCTATATTTGCCTCTAGTCTTGTGAAGAAAAAAGAACTAAGTTTTTCCTATATAATCATTTTCCCCAAAACAATTTCCTGTTTTGACACAGCAGCCACTACTGCTGACAGACGTTTTGTGAAATAAAACATACCCAGTGTTTACCGAGGTGGGCAGAATGTTAAATTAAAGGCACATGTGGTAACAAGCCAGGAATCATTCCGCCTCTCCCAGCATACTCGGCTCTTTCAACTCAGTCCATTCCTTCCAGGTCAATGAGTGAACCTACAACGTCCAGCGGACCTCCAACACAGAAATATGCGAACATGCTGAAAATATGCTGCAGCAGCTGCCTGTCCTGCTGCTCCTGGACCAAACGTCCTCAAGAAGTAAACTGAAACTCTGAGAAGAAATCTTAAATTGAAGTCCTAATCACTTTGCAAGTCTCTTTCTAGTGATACAAAAATATCTTACTATATGGAGCTAACTTCTGAAATTGCTCAGTTTAAAATATTTTTCACACAATACTTTTCTAAAAGAAAGAATTTGCATACGAATTAGAAGATAGAAAGGAAATTTAGAAAATACAGAAAAATCCCTTGTCCATGCTAACCATTTCAAATCAATTCTATGCTTTTTTAAGTCCATCTTGTTTTCACTCTCCTAATTCATGGTGCCAAGCATCCCACTTTTGCCTTTTCTAGACTATATCCGCCCCCGATCGTATTTAAATGCCTCCGGATATCAACCTTGAGCCTATCACAAACCCCAGTCTCTCACATCTCCTTATTATGAGAAAACCGGGCAACATCTCAGACATTTACTGTTATGAAATAAAAATCTGTGATTTCTATTTTTAGCATCTCTTGAACTCACTTTCCCCTTTTCTTCACAGTCACCTCCCCTCCAACTGTCCTGTCACCCACACACAGGATTGGATCCTATTTACACAATGAGATCTAACTCCTTGCCAGAACTGATGTTCCAGAAAAGCGAACCTGTGACAGGAAGGCTTGAGTTCTCTCTAAAAATGAAGAACTGGGATCTTAAGAAGTAACTATCTCCATGCAGGTGAACTTTTAACATTTCAGGAGACTGAAAACATTTAACTGTTGTGGGTAGAGGAGAGTGGTAATCTTTCAAAAGGACCGAGGCGAGAAGTCAACTTTCAGAGAAAGAAAAACGAAGTGCATTTTACCGAGAAAGCACAGATGTGAACCAGCGGAAGGGTGAAGGAAGTCTCCTCAGACTTCCCACTTTCCCTTCCAGCCGGTCTTGAGGCCCTGCTGTAGTCCAGCCTTTGGATTCTAATACCACGGCTGTAGCAATTTTTAAATGCATTTCCAAATGTGTTGTTTAAACAAATTCAGGTGGGTTTCCGCTACTTGCATTCCAAGAATTTCAACTAGTATTTCCCCCTCGCTGTACCAAGAAAATCAGGAAGATATTTTGTAAATACTATGCTTTCTGACTTTCCAAAGCACTGACCAGTCCAACAGCTCGGTGATGAGTGAAAACCGCGTTTTCAGATGTAAACGTCATTTCTCCCTGCTCTGTTCAGCAGGCAAAGCAGTAACAGGCACTTGTCGGCACTGCCCATTCTAAGAGCTGTGAGCGACGAAATCTGAACAAGGTACTCTATAAACCACACAAAAGACAAGACATTCAGGGAGTGAACAGACTAATCTGATAAATGTTTTCTTAAAAGACTGCAAACAACTTAATGTCCCAGAACTGTACACTTAAAAAATGGCTAAGGGCCGACCCTGTGGCTGAGCGGTTAAGTTTGCGCGTTCCGCTTCGGCAGTCGAGGGTTTCATGGGTTTGGATCCTGGGCATGGACACGGCACAGCTCGTGAGGCCATGCTGAGGTGGCGTCCCACATAGCACGACTAGAAAGACCCACAACTAAAAATACACAACTATGTACCGGGGGGATTTGAGGAGAAGAAGAAGAAAAAAAGATTGGCAATAGATGTTAGCTCAGGTGCCAATCTTTAAAAAAAATGGTTAAAATGGTAAATTTTATGTTATGTATATTTTACCAAAATAAAAAAGCAGCAGCCAAAAAAACCCTGCAAACAGGAAGTACTCATACACTTTGAAGATCAAAATGTGGGCTAGAACTTGCTCAGCTTTTGTAAAAGGTGTAAAAACAGCACTAAAGAGGTATCAGCTTGTCAGGTTTGGAACCGTGGTACGTGAAATCCAGCGGCCTGCTTCCAGCCCCTCACTCCGGGAGCACGACAGCAGCCACCACAGTAAAACACACACACACTCAAATGGCTTCTAAGGTTCCTGGCTTCTTTACTGAGTTTATTCCAAAGATCTGATAAACCTAAGGTTCAATTAACGATGTGTTTATTCTCTTCATTCTTTGTGTCTTATTCCTGAGGTCACTGGCTTCTGGTTTCCCTATACCTTTGGCATAACATTTCAGGACATCTTTTGCTGTAGACTATTCCATCAAGAATTTATAAGTTGCGTAAGTTCCTCAGCTCTTCCTGGGGAAAGAATTTTATCTTTTTACTCTGGAAAGCATTTTTTATTAACAGATTTATAAGGTATATAGCTACTCAATAAAGGTGGCTTGATAAAGGCATTCCAGAAATGGTGACTTACCCATAAATTTGGTGACATTCCATTGTGTAATTTCTTTGTCTCATCTTAAAATACTTCATATAAGACTTCGTGCTTTTATTCTTTTCAATATATTTTTAAAAACTGAGGTACAATCCACATGCCATAAAATTCACCCTCAGTGCATTTTTATAAACTGTTAGAGAGACTGATAAAAAATAAAACATAGTGTGTTCTATGCTAATTCCTTGGCCAAACTAGAGACGT